TCTTTCTTTCTTCCTCCCTCCCTCCCTTCTTCCCTCCCTTTCTTCCTTTCTTTTCCATCTTAGAAGAATTTCTACCAACCAGGGACTCTTAGGTTCTGAACTTGCCTCATCATCCTGGTATCCTTGTTCTTCCTGAACAACCTGGTCCTCCATAGCTTTCATGGTAGGAGATCAGTGAAAGGTCAGTCAGTTCTAGAAAGAAATGCAGTATTAGGCAATCGACAGAGATCCAAACATGGCATTGATAAGAGCTATAACTAAGATGGGGCTAGAGAGCTTTGTTCCCGGGTACAGAATTTGGAGAGTGTTGAAAACATGTAGTCCTTTCGCAGAAGAAACAACCCAGCTTACTACCTAGTTATCAAGAAGAATTAGTTAAAGAGGAAATTCCCACACAGTTCCCTTGTCATCCTCCTGCAGCAGTCCCTGAGAAGCTCTCCTCTGTCCCAGCTCACTGGTCTACATGCAGTTTGTAGATTCTACCTTTCCCTTTGTTGGAAAATTGGGACATTTATCCATCTCTAGTCCTGGAGTAATTCTCTTGTTCCTGACAATCTTTCCAAATCAATGACACAAACAGAAAAAAATCCCCTTTTGGATGTGGAAATATATACTTTTTTTAATTCTTAAGAATTTTGAAGAAAATTAAGTCAGAATTTAAAAAAGAAAAATACTTGAGGAATGACATAAAATATCAATTTTGAGAAAATATAAATAGCTAATAACAAAAATCATTTTTAAAAAACCAGGTCCTTTTTGCTATCCTCAGCCTTCCTGACCAGCCTCAGCTCATTCCGAGCTTTAGTGTTCCAAACTCTGTTCTTGGAAGACCACTGGCACCCTCTTGTAGTCATCCTGCCCCTTATCTTCTTTCATCTTCTGAACATGTCTGCAAAAGAGAGCCTGAGTTCCCTGTGTATCCATCTCATTCTCTTTAAATAACTTCTTTCTTTTCTTTCTCGTCTGAAATGTTTCTCTTTTTTCTTCCAAATTCCATTCTTGAGTTTCCTATCCTTCTTGGGCTGACTTCCCTCATAGAATTTTAAGTCATAGGATCCCACCTCTGCTTGCTGTGAACCTATCGAAATATACTCTTCCTAAGTCTAGGGACCACATCACATTATTCCTTCTTTTCTTTCCTTCTCTATAAAAAAAAATCTAAAGTCAAGAGATCTCTTATCTATAAGGTACCAATTCACTTCCACTTCAACAGTTGTATTTGTAAAGAACTTTAAATTCATTTTCTCATCTAATCCTGTGTCATAAACACTACAGATAATTATTATTTGCATTTTGCAAATGAGGAAAATGAGGCCCCCAAAAGCTTAGTGATCACACTGGTGGAGCCAAGATTTGGAGCCAAAGTCTTCCAACTTCTGACACTAGCCTCTATGTCACAGGAATTCATTCCCTCTGGTTGGTAAGAATCTGGTCCAGAATCACAGTTCCCTCCATTGCTTTCTTTCCCTTTTAAAGAATGAAATGATCATTAATGCAAGTTCAGAATTTATCAACTGATACTTTATGCAGAGAGGGTGCTTGGGCAGATGTCTGCATAACCGATGTCTCTCATCACTACTCTATCCTATCATGTGATGTGTTTCTTAAAATTCTCATCTATCATCTTCTTTCCAGGAGGTCTACAGTCTACTGCTATCAAAATATTCCTTCTGTTTTTCCCCCATTAATCTTTACTCGAGTGTTCTTCCATTATGGTTTCCCCTTTGAGGTTCTGAGTTCCATTATATAAGCGTAGCTTCTTACTATACAATACTATCCCATTGCCTTTTAAGATAGTCAAACCCTGTTGAAGAGGTACTGACATTCCCAACCAGATTCCAGCCATGAGCACCATTCCCCCAAATCTCAGGGATACTTAGGAAGCAAATTTTGCCTCCTGGCTTTTAAGATGTCTAAGTCACCTTGTTCATTGGTCACACTTTGTGCATTTGTATTTAGACACCCAAGGCTCAGGTTTTATTGCTAGTTTACTTCTTGGATATTGTCTCTTGTGAATAACTGGGCCTCCCGAGTTCTTCTTCCACATCATCTCCATTACTTTCTAAAACATCTGCTTTGGCAGATAAAGGTAGGTAATCTGCTCCCCTCCCTCTTCAGCTGAAAGCTCTTAAAAAAAAACCAAAACAGATTTGCAAGCTTCAGGCAAACACAGCTTTATCAGCCCTTGTTAGGTGCACCCTATCCTTGGCTAAGAGCCTCTCATGGCTCTATTTTAACAATGTAAATCTCATTCCAGGATACACCATCTTCTTAACCAGTTGGTCAGTTTCGAAATCCGCCTTCCCCTTCTGAATCCCAGACTTTCAATTGGCAGCAGTGAGGAAACCACCACCTGTGTCCCAAGGTAGTCATCCCCCTGCCAGAGGGATGCTTTCTAAGCTTTCTAAGTCCCTTCATTTGTCCCAATGTGCACCAGATATGGATGACAGTCATCAGGTGTGACAGGGCTCTGATCCCAGACCAGGCCCGGAAAAGAGCAAACCTCCCCATGAATAATAAAGAGTCGTCTCAGAGCCCCACAGCAGAGAGCCACCAACCTCTCTGCTGGTCCCTTCTCCCTTACTCTGATCCCTCTCTCCTGATGCCATCTATAGATATACTCCTTGGTGTTAAAGAAGCTGTTTCCTCCTGAGGGAGACTGGTTCCCCTACTCCGCTCAAGGAAAGAGCCCAGAAACTGCTTCTGTTGTTCAGTTGTGTCCAACTCTTTGTGACTCCATTTGGGATTTTCTTGGCAGAGATACTGGAGCGGTTTGCCATTTCCTTCTCCAGTTCATTTTCCAGCTGAGAAAACTGAGGCAAACAGGGGTAAGTGACTTGCTCAGGGTCACACAACTAGTAAGTCTCTGAGGCCAGATTTGAATTCAGGTCTTCCTGACTCCAGGCCTAGCACTCTACCCACTGCCTCACCTAGCTAACCTCACTTATTTATTATCTGGGACACATATTTCCTGGTCTTCCTTTCTCCTCTGGGTTACATTCCTATGTCCTCTAACTTCCATATACAAATAATGATTCTCCTCTCCTTCTTTGTAACCCGAAACACTTCTCCCATTCCTTTAAGGAACACGTCGCTATCCTAGACAATGCTCTGTATTATGAACCTGGAAATTGCAGAGGCATTTCGCCAGCTCTTAACTACACAGGTGACCAACCCACACTCAGTAGTGGTTACTTGGTGATGGGAAACACACAAATATAATAGGCACTCTGCTGTTCCTGAAGAATCCCTCTTGCTCTCCATTTTTGCTACAAGTGAGATTGTGACATTCCTCAGCTCACTGTCCCCTGCTAACCTGTTAGGGAGCTCAGGAACTAAGCTCAGGAACTCCTCCATAAGGGCACACTGGGCCATCTTTTGCCTCATTTCTTACCTAGCCTTTAATCACTGAATGGGTGTTGTCTCAGAAAACTGAGACCTGGGAAAGACTTCAGTTTAAAAAGGCCAAGGTCTCCTCCTGCATCCGGAGCCATCTCCAGTCATCCTGATCTATATCTCGCCACTGGAACCAGACGGCTCCAGAGGAGAGAGCAAGGCTGTTGACTTTGCACAGCCCTCCCTCACTTAAATCCAATTCACTCTCAAGCCAAGGCATCACCTTCCTAATGTCATTGGTCCTCTTTGAGAACAAAGGACCAACAAAACAACATCTACTTACTTTTCTGCTGAGATGGCACTAGTTTGCTCAATTCCTTTCCTTGTCAATTAGTCATGTTCTGCCAAAGCCTCAATGCAGAGAAGCCCCACTGCTCTTGTCTGTGCGGGGTGCTCAAGAGAAATCCAACTACCAGCTACTGCTCAAGTCCCTCCCAATCTGAAGTTTTATGTTCTCTGTGGAAAAAGAGGTGTCCTGGATGGTCTCCAGCTTTCCCACCAGCTCTAAAACTGCGTGATTCTATAATTTCTTTTTTGCGGTCTTAAATTTCACATGGTCTTTTAATTTTTCACATTCTCATCTGTAAAATGAGGGGGCTGGACTCAAGAGCCTGTAGGGGTTCTTCTATCTCCAGATCTATGACCCTATGATCTCTCTAGGCCTCAGTTTCCTCATCTGTAAAATAGGAGTTAGACTTGATGACCTCTAAGGTCCTTTCCAGCTCCAAGTCTATGACCGTATTTTTATTTTCTCTTTCCATCTATATCGTAAGTTCCTTGAGGCCTCCGACCATGTCTTTTACCTGCCCCAGAGCCTTACATGACCTAGAGGGGTGGGGAACCTGTGGCCCGGAGGGCACATGTGGCCCTCTAAGTCCTCAAGTGTGGCCGTTGTGGCCTCGAGGCCTCAGGTTCCCCACCCCTGTAAGACAGTCAATACATATTGGTCCAATTGACTTTTCCTCCTAGCAGGGAATCTATAAAAGAAGGGAACTGCATTAGGGGTACTCTAAGGTACCATCCTGCCCCACAGCCTATAGGCCTCTTCCCCTGGGGCTTTCTCACGAGAATACAGGCTATGCCCACCTTCTTTATCGTGTGAGACACTGGTTCCAATTTCTTGTTCTTGGTACTTACTACACAAAGCTGATCAGATGTCCCACAGACATCTCAAATGAAAGAGGACTCATTCCTGTTACCCCTAAAGCCTCCTCTCTTCCGGACCTCACGTCTGTCCAAGGCACCACCGACTGGCCTTTTAACCACCCAGGTCCACAACTGCTGTATTAGCTTCAACTTCTCCTTCTCTAGCCCCAAATTTTAAATCAGCCTCTAAATTCTGCCATTTCTACTTCGAACATCTGTCTCCTGTCCACACGCACAGCCAACATCCTGGTTCAAGCTGTCATCACCTCTCACCCGGACTGCCGATGCAGCCTCCTACACTAGCTTCTCTGCCTCACCTCAACTCCAGACCGTCCTCCCCACAGCTGCTAAGCTGATTTGCTCAAGTACAGATCCATCCTCGGCACTCCCCAGCTCAATAAACTCCAGTGACTGCCCACACTGCCTTTAGAATAAGTTACTGTGAACTCCTGTTTGGCTTATAAAGCCATCACCACGGGTCCTAACCTGCTTTTCCAATCTTATAGATTACTCCCCTTCCTGCTGCCTTCGCCCACGCGGGCTGGCTTTTTGGCTGTTCCTCACACTGTTCCCTGTGCCTAGAATGCACTCCTCCTCCTCTCCGGCTTTTAGCATCCTTTGGTCCTTTAAAATTCAGCTCAAACACCACCTTATATCTAATGCCTTTCTATATTCCCCCGTTGCCAAGCCTTTCCCCAGGACCTGTGCCAGCCTCAGTTTCCTTATCTGTAAAATGGATATATAATACCCCATAGGGTTGTTGGAGGGATCAAATGAGAAAACCCAAGCAAAGCACTTTACAAACCTTAAAGCCCTTCATAAAGTCTAGCTATTATTTATATGCTTTTTAGTCTTTTTAAACATTGGTTTTTTTGGAAAATTACATTTTTTTCTGAGCTTTTCATTTTTGTATCTGCAAAATGGGGTTAATAAAAGCACCTACCCCGCATGGTCGTGGTTAGGATCAAATAAGATACTGTAGGTAAGAGTACTTTGCTATTATTATTAATCCCACACACAAAGTAGCCAGAGAGGAGAGGCCTGTACTATGGAGGCAGCTAGGCCATGCCAGGGGACAGAGTCAGGAGGCCCCAAATTCAAATCCAGTCTCAGTCACCTTCTAGCTGTGTGACCCCAGGCAAGTCACTTCACCCCTGCCTGCCTCTGTTTCCCCATCTGTAAAAAGGGTGGTCAGTAGGGAGG